CCTACAGATAACCTGTACCTTCAAATATCCACTAAAGGCAGTAAATGTTAAAGAAAGTACAAATATTTCTAAGAAGTTTCAACATGTTGTAACGGACTTGGTACAAAAATATACTCAGTTACCACTGAGCAGCCTAAACAATTTCATTACGCAAATCTTCAATTTAAATCTATTTACTGAAATTTTCAGTCGACTATTTGAAGCTGTACTCTGTATATCTGTATTTCAAAATAAATTTAAAATTAATAAGATAAGTTCTCACAAAAGAAGATTTGTTACTCTATAAAGTCCGTATCTTTAAGTTCCAAAATAAGAATAAGGTGTACACAGACTTTTCCTGGGCAAGACATTCCAGTTTATTAAATTTCTTCCCCAACGAAGTTTTAATTCTATGATATCAGGAATACATACTTTTACGAACGTTAAGTGAATTTTAAAGATATGTACACAAAAAATGTATTTTCAAAGTTTTATTTCCTTTCAAAGAGGAAATACATTTCAGTTTTAGTTGATGGATAGATCTTTTGATGTCTGACTATTGTTGTCAGTGTATGATGCTACGATGTGAGCAGTCTCTACTCACGTACCCAGAAGACAAATATTTCCAAATTTTTTCGTTGTTTTCAGTTGATCTAGTTCATTCATGCTAGGACAGTAATGTACTGGTCACATGTGTTATTTGCCCATAAAACCATCATTACATGCGTGCCGATGCATATAAAACTTTGAATACATCTTCGAAATACTGAATCCTGCACCACAGAAAATTCCTGGACTTTCTTTTATCTATACTGTTTTAAAGAATGCCATTTAACAATGAGTTAGCTCTAGCAAAATCGAAAACATAGGTTTAGTTAAAAATTCTATTATAGGCCATGATGAAAATTTGTAAACTATCTGTTTTGATGTCCTGTGGGTTTTAAGTTGTTGTTGTAAGTAAAATATCATTTTTAATTATTATTCCCTTTTAATAATTTTCGCTGCTCAGGGAGTTTCTAAGACTCTGACCTTTTAAAAAGGGTCTAATTTATGTTAAATTTGCACAGATATAAGCCTTTTGAGTTTGATCTTAAGTCGTGAGATCTGATATCACGCGAGAATTGCTAAACCAAAGAGCTTCAGGTTCTCGCCCGTGATTCTAGAGCTATGTAAATAAATAGCCCCGTATTCGTAAAGGAAACATTTTGCTATCACAGTGGCTTATCTGATCCATTTAGGTTAGAGTAAGCCTTTTTTATTTTCTTTAATCTCATCGGAAATCTTAGAAGTACATCTTTCAAGTTTTGTATAATTGTTCTTATTTATTGAATAAGAAACAAAGTTTCATTTTAATTCCAGTACTTCCCAAACTTTATGCCGAATATTTCTGCAAACTACATGTTAGGATGTGTGTTTCATAAGATATTTAAATTAAAAATCACCCGTTACTTGAAATTTGCCATCCGACTCATATCCGAATTTTGAAACAAAATAATTTAGAAAAAAAAATGTGGAACTTCTTTCTTGGTAATGTTATAAGATTACTAGACTTTGTTAATTAGACTGTTTATTGCAAATCTAATTCTTTTTACTTCCTTGTACGAAGTAAAAAGGAAGTATTGTAATCGCGAAAAGTTTCAGGCAGCATATTTCAACGAAAATATCCTATTTTGACCTCTTTCAAATGCAATTTAACGATGTATTTCGTAATATCTGTACGTAAGGACAGAATAAAACTCTCTTTTCCTGAAAAAAATTATAAAACTGCTTTAAAATGAATTCTGAAGAGAATTTTTCGTGGCGTCTGTACGAACGTATGTACGTACGTACGTATCTCGCATAACTCAAAAACGAGTAGCCTCAGAACGTTGAAATTTTGTATATAGGACTACTATAACATGTAGATGTGCCGTATTTTGGTTGCAATCGGCCGCACCAAACGTATATAAATATATTTATATATATATATCCACTCTGTTACCCGGCTCAGTGATCTCAGTTTCTTTACTCTTATGTGTTTGTAAATTGTACATTTTTTTGCTTTAAAAATGATTGAATTATGTTGTTCTTATCTTCTGGTTAAGGTTTTTATGCCTTTAGTAAATCTGTATGCGATATTTTTAGAATTATCAACAATTTTAAAATTGTTTAAGTGCCGCTAAGCCTAATAATATTTTTGATGGCGGCCATTGCTCTTGTTTACATTTGAAACAACAGGATAGCGGATTTGTTGCCAATCTAAAGAATGTTAGCTTCGCAACAACAAAGATAACGCCTTCATTTATTATTGAAGTCATGCTTAATCCTTTCTGGAATTTTTTCGAGGAAATAAGCGTTTAAGATTTACTTCGTAATTTTTAATACAGATATTTTGAGTTTTTATGTATTTTTTGCCTTGTCTTGTCGCGAAGTGAAAACTGAATTAGTTGAATGAAAATACTCAATCGTCTGTGAAAAACTGTTTCTTTTTTGTTTTGTTTGCTTTAATTTCTTTTATACATCGCTCTAGCTTTATTATAGTATTTGAATAGAACATGTGGAACGATTAGATAATTCTTTAAATGACGTAAATTTTGTGTATTCTGAGTTATAATATGAACGAAATATAATACTGTTAAGTGAATCTAGCGCCAGAGTGTGGCTATGGTAAACATAAGTGAATTTTAAAGAATGCATTTATTCTATTGTGGTTTATGCGGTGTTCGGCGAAGTAGGTTTAATTCAATCTAATAAGTTTAAATGAAATGCAAGAAAAAATGCGTATAATTTAATATTCCGTACAAGGAAGTCATGTGGTGTACACATCAGATTTTTTTGCTTCAAGAACCCATGAGAGAACAAATGATCTAAAAAAAGGTTTTGCGAAAATTGGAAACCACTTCGTCTTAGTAGGAAACATTAAGCTACAGAAAAATGCTTCATTAGCAGGGAGTTCGTATAATTGATTAACGAATTTTTTTAGGATGCAAAACATATGTACGTATTTCACTTATTGCGAGGGAAAAAAATAATTGCGACATAATGCGGTTCTAACCATGATATTAAGACAGGTGGCTCTCGAGTATTTTGCTATAATAAATTAACTAGCTACCAAATATGATTCACTAATACTTCCCATCCGTGATTCTTTATGGTGTTAGTCGAGATACAAGCAAAAAGAATAACAATAACAAACCCCAATGCAGACAGTAACGAAAAACGCTGGACATGAAAGAAAAAGGAAGCGCAAAAGAATGTGGTGCTTAAGCAATAAAAAAAGTCTCATTACAAGCTTTTTTCTGTATACACTTATAAGTATGAAAAAAAGAATGTGCACAACATATAAGTATGTATATACGTTCAACAGTGCTCATTCTTTAATGGAAAGAGAAATAAAACTTGTATTTTCACGAAATCAAATTACCTTCGAATTCATTTCGTAAGATTAGATTATTTTTTAATTTCCATTGCACTATATACGTGTATTATATTGACGTTACACATACATTCAAGGTTGTGGTAAAGCTCCTGTTTGAATATAACTAGCGGAATTTTTTTACTAATTACAGAAATTTATACAGAGAGTTGTAAAAGTTTGACTGTAATTTTAATGCATGATGTCAAACGTAACGTCCAAAGCAAATCGGCATTAAATAAGGTAACAGAAAGTAGTAACAGCTGAGAATAAGTTAATTAGTCCAGATTATAGAATTATAATTATATTAATGGATTAGATATAGCATATTATAAAACTAATGCTCCGCTCTGGGAAAGTTTGTGTAATCGAATATATGTATGTATTTCGATAATCATTGCCCAAATTACTTCGCGAGCTTAATCGTACCTAATAGCAACATTATTCGTAGAACATCGTTTTAAATTAAATAATTACTAAGTTTCCCAACTGTAAGATAATGTCTTCTGCCTGAAATTGCGCTTCTGAAAGCCATGTTTACCTCATGCGTATAACCTAATATTTAAAAATATCGCCCACCCCATTCCTTTTATGTTAAAAAATGACCAGATTCACTAGCTTCATTCCAAAGTACTACTTAGACCATTTAATTATTTTTCGGCCAGAACATCCTCATCAAATTAAGCTTATGCATATGAGATACATCCCTTAGGCAAATAAAAGCCCTCACGTGCTTTGCCATAATCAAATAGACCAAACCAACTATGCATATGAGAAAACGTTTACATGTAAGGTCTTTCTTTTTGTTATTAAAATATTTATAAACATGCAGAGTGTTTTATATAGGAGACTCTTCCAGATTTGGACAAATACGGTATTTACTTTATATAAGGTTAAAATTAGCTTAGGTAGCAAAATGGAAATTTTCTTTTTATCATCTGAAAGCAATATATTGAGTACCACAGCAAATGTTTTAAATTTAAATGTCTTTTGAACATTTGTTTATTATAGCACTTCACTATGTGAACATATAATGTTTTAATTTTTACAGCGTTGTCTGTGTTCATGCTTTCTACTCATGTGCTAGCAGAACTTGTTACTGAAATGAAAGAAAATTAAAACCATCTCTCATACAAAAATATATACAGTGCGATTCAGTGTTCAATACGGCTCTTAAAATCAACAATATTTAGGAGAATTGTTAAAAGCAAATTGCTGCAAGGTTAATGTTGCATTTTGTGATACATCTACTTGTCAATTAACCTGATAATACCGGTATATTCTCTTGAACGTTTTTCAAATATTCGAGGGGAAAGCACGGAAGTGTTTCAGCAGGTTTTCGCTCCTGTTCCGTGTACTATTGGTTTTCCGAATGATCGCTAGATATTGCGAAAAACATTTTCAGTTTTTCTGAGCTATTTTTGAAGGCTGAACGTGCTTAAAAAGCGATCTTATAAAAGAGTTATTCATTTACTGTAGCCATTGCTGAACTCGAAGCTGAGCGAAGCCGTGTGTAACGATTCATTTCGGTCTGCATCCTGGGCATCTGACGTCAACAGCTAGATTCTGGCCAATGAGTGTCCATTCTCGAGTCACATGGTGTGATAAAGAGAGCGAGTATGCTTATGGAAGTAAGCATCAGCTGAAGGTACACCGATCGTAGAGATCCGCAAGTCCTGTTGGGAAGAGCAAATATCAAGAATTTTTTCGGCTTTCTAAAATACGAAGAGAATCTGTGGGAGAATTTGTCTGCGCAGGTAGGAATTTTTCCCACTCCTTAGAAAAATAATTCAATTTATTTTTGTGAATGCGTTTTAGTGAATTTCGCTTGACAGGAGCAACAGGCAGCCATCCCGTCTTTGACTCCGTTACGAAAACGGCCCATACATCGAATAATTGCATAAATTAAAAGCCAAAATAAATGTAAGCGTTAAATAAAGAAAAAACATTATTGATTAAAGCTTTTTCTAACAGAAGGTTTTGCAAATAAATTAAATACGAATTTTTTATTTCAAAATATATTTTACTAAAGTTCGAAAAGACATGCAGCATGTACTAATTTTAACCAATGGTTATATTCAAAAGTACTTGTTTGAATAAATATGCTTAAACTAATAGCAGTTTTAGTTATAGAAATTTAAATAAAAGTTTTTTTTTTTTTTTATTTATTTATTTCATGTAAACGTCTTCCTGAACTGTTTTTTAAAAAAATAAGGGAAAACTTATAGCATTATTATCAAGTAAATTTTATTTTAAATTATTTTGCGACTCTTATTTTTCATAAATTTTTATACGATCTTTAAAGAAATATTTTTTCGGTAGATCGTATTTTAAAATGAGAAAGGTAACTTAAACGGTTATTACATCATACAAATTCTTTTATTCTACACAAAACTTTATATATTAAGGAAATCCGTTATCAAAATGAGTTTAGCAATCTACCTGCCAAAAAGGGAAAAAAGCGAAAATTAACCAGACTGTGTGTGACACGAATTCTTTACGTTCAAACTTTGTAATCTACAACTCGTAACATCGTAACATTATTACTAGTATTGTAACTTTATTGAAAACCTTGTAACATTATTACTAGTATTGTAACTTTATTGAAAACCTTGTAACATTATTACTAGTATTGTAACTTTACTGAAAACCTTGTAACATTATTCAAGCTTTGTTGGCCTTTTTCAAATTAAGGTGCTCTCTAGATTTCAGATGATAAAGAAACGGTCGATTTTCTTCAGGGGTAAATCTTCTGAAGAGGAAAAATTCGATTGTTAGGTAGAAAGATAGCACTGTTTGTTTCTCGAAATGTACTGAGACTTTTTATTTCAAATTAAGAACCCAAGAACGGACTAAATTTGCCACATCAAGCCAAATAAAAGCCCATTTTAGAGTTCATTTACTTTTCTTTGAAGGAAAAATAACAGAGAAAGAGAAAATTTGTTCATTTCTTTCTGTAATAATAAGAATCGAATCAAGTCTACTTTTCATATTTAACTTCAGGTAATCACAAACTAAAACTGGAAACAAGCGCTTGTTTCAGGATATGTCACGACTTACATGAACATTCTGCGCGCTTTGCGATGTTTACGGAGAGAATTATAAATTTTATAAAGCTAGGAGAGCTCAGATGTTTTCAGTCGTTCCTTTTCGTTGCATGTTAGGTTCAACTCAATTCTTAAATTATATCATACGACTCCTAAGCTGCTCTTTTTCAGCTCCATTAGTTAACAAAACATTCGCTGTAATTTTTTTCTTTCATTGAATTTCTGTTGTAATTACAGATTTCGTTTCTATTATATGCATTATAATTCATCAAAATGTAAGATAATATCAGTAAGCATTTATAGCAGATTTAGACGTATTTCTTGTAGAATGGTTAATCAAGAATGAGATTACTTGACAGCCTAGCTACAAATTTGGTTTTGAAAGGGAGAGTACCTTTTCATTTCATCTCCTGGTCGTGCCCTCGTTTTCGCAAAATCGCAGTTTTTACACATACTTTACAGCAGGTTTAAATTCTGGTTAATCGCGAACTGTAAACAAGATTACGCCAGTGACAGCAGTATTTCCCGTATAGATATGCTGAATGAGATAGACATAAACGTCTATAGTTTCAGGACCTTTGGTGATGCAGCAGATTTAGTTCATGTCTTCATGGAAGTATGGTATCCGTGGAAAGAAAGTTTCCAGTTATAAATATCAAACAATCTTAAGAGAAATTCGGATTTAAATGTGGAATCAATAAACATCACGCTAACTGTAAACATATGACATATAATGTGATATATTTATGACAAATAGAGAAGGATCAAAGTATTTTGAGTTTGTAAAATACGCACGGTAGGAACCTGAAGATTCGCAGTCTTTTGCACTTAAATATACGTACTTCTACATAGCTTCTGTGAAGAATTATCATCATATCAACATTTTATACAGCAGAGAGTGTTTTAAGTGTTGTATTCTTAAGAAATTCTTCTTGTCCCGTTTATAACTGGTAAAAATAAGTTCACTTCATTTATTATGTACATAAAAAAGGCACTAGTTATGAAAAAGATAGAAATTTTTTTCATACTATGCACTTTAACAAAAAAATTAGGAAACATGCTTGGGAAAAAGCTTAGCTTTCATTTTCGGAATTTTCATTATATGAGCTTTGCGAGATTTTAGGTTTCAGGAGTTATATATTTAAAAATTTAAAGAAAATTAATAATTAGGTATTGTAGTTATGAAAGCTTTCAGAATATTTGTCTAAACGTTAAATATTGTAAAATTTATAATGATTCTTTGCTATATTTACCTAACAAATTTTGTTTGAATCAATAGATCTATTAAAAAACTGAAGCTAAAAATAATTCAGATACAGCAACGACGATTAAAAAAAGTAAATCTTTATCCCAGCTCACGTTCAATCAGCTTTTGAATATACTCTCTGTTACCAGTTTCGCAGAGACTCTTTCAATACCTTACCTTTTTTAAAATCATATATTTGAAAACTAATAAAGATTTCTGCATATGCACTTTATCGTAAATTTAAATTCTAGCATGTATTTCACGTTATAATATATTTCATGTATGTATAATGGAAACTTTTTCAAATTTCCCCTACACAAAATGTTTAGTTTCATTTACCTAAATTCTGTCATGTCGTTTCACGAATTAAAAAGACTTTTGTCTCTTATATTACATCATATTTCGAAAATCTACCACTCCAGGTAGCATTGTCTAATATTAATTTAATGCTAAGTACATATGTAAAACAAAAGTTTCTAGAAATCCCATGAAAAATATTAAGAGGAAAGAAATTATTGAAATATTTTAACTTGTATTTTATTACTTTGCATTCTGCTACAAACATAGATATTATAATTGTAAGAATACAGTCATTATATGGAATATTATTTCAACATCAAGCATAACCAGTATTTAATCTAATACCATAAAATCACTTTCCTTTAACAGACGCATACACATTCTGTATTTACTTTGAAATTTGGTAGTTCTTGGTAAATCTTCCTTTTGCTTGAATTCATCCTTAGTACTTACCATTACCATTATATTCACATTATCTCTAAACAGAAAAAACTGTACATAAGTTCTATGATACCTGTAGTTCGCGTCGTACAATCTCAAAATGAGTGAAAGCGGATGCGCATGTGATGCGGAATTTAGAAATGGAAATTAATGCCAAATTTTTTGGTTGGTATAACTGCTTCTTTAATGAACTGAACGTACTTTAAGAATAAAGGAATGAATGTTTCCAGAATAAATCTTTTTCAAAGTCTGATCATTTGAATGACTCAACCAGGAAAATATTCATCCATTCATTCTATTCCAGTTATAAGTTACTTATAAAATCAAGAAAACTTACGGCATAAAAGCAGATAAACTACGTGGAATTATGCCCAAAGCCTTATAAAAATCTTCTACCACATTGTCTGATATGATAAGAATTTTAATGAGGCCATTTATCATAATAATCAGATTAAAAGATTTTAACATCGATAATCGTTTACAAGACAAATAATTAAATTTTGTAATCCAATTATTTTTAGTCAAAGCACTACAAAGCAATTCTTGACCTACCTATAATAATACCATATAAAGCAATACCTATACCATGTAAAGCAATTCGTTGCATACCTGTGTTAAGTATTTGGGTACTTACGTATTATCGCAACCAGGTTGGCGCTATTTGTAAGTTTGAGTAAAAAAGTATGAATAGAAAGAAAATGTATATTTATTAATTACAGATAATTTTTAATACAGTTTTTTTATATTATTTTGTTTTTAAATATAAAATAGCAATTAAACCCTTCCGGTTTCGAATTTGAATAAGTTGCAGAATTATTTTTTCGGCGGAAATCTTTTGGTATTGTTATTGCTTTTAGCACACCGATTGAAAAACCGTATTCGCCATAACCATGTACACGTCGACTTATTTTTACTTAAAAAAACATCCCAGAATTGCACAAAAATGGCATTGCGCACACTCTTGACTTAATCCATGTACACTGCTATTTTCTCATAAATTACAAAAATTTGCACGGAAATGCAGGAAAATTTTGTGAATCTCCACATGCTCTTTTTACAAAACTACGTATAACACGTAGGGTTGCCGTAAGTAAGGTCGCCAAATTATGCGAATTTTGGCCTGGTTGCGTTAATACGTAAGTACCAGTATTTGCCTGTATGCTTCATGTAATATAACATATTATTGAACAGTAAAACCGAAAACCTGTCATTTTCCGAAAATAAAGTTGCCGCTTGCAGAACTTAATAAAAATATTGTATTTACTGTGTATCAATATTAAAAAGGTCTTAATTTATATTTGGAAATTAACTATATTTGGGAACATAACGCTTCAGTTTACTCCAACTGGATTTCTAACTCTTAACATTTCATTCTAAGATAAGACTTCGGTTCTTATTACCTTCCTATCGAAACATATGATCATTCCTTTGAGTAATATCATCTTGAGCAATCTTCTGCTTTACTAATAATAATATCTGTATATGAAAGAAGTTCTTCTAAAGCCGTTTTTCTCTCGAATTTAGATTAATATATACTAAGTGGTTCGTGATGTCCTAAGTGGAGGCTCACACATTGTGATTCCTAGACGTTCTTCTGGTTTTGATCAGTCTAAATTTAAAACCTTTGTTAAATCATTGCAATTCGTTTTTTTTAATTCGCTAAAACATGCTAAATTCCCATTAATGTTTGGAACAGATTTTAAATTTTTTTCGAAATTCATAA